TATTCAAGATTGAGGGAATCACTGTGACATTTAACTCAACTCTGCAGATTTTAGATGCCTTTGATATCTGTTATTTGGCCTCTATAAGCTGGTTTAACACATGCCTGGTTACTACTGTTTTCTTCTTGCTCCTCTTAGTGATTAATTCACTTAAAGGTTAAATACTTCTCATTTGCAAATGTTTCAATTAAAAAGTAAGGCTGTTGAAGAAGACACAAGTTATATAGCCTTCAGTTAAATGTTATTAGTAAATGATAAAGATATTTCTTCATAAATTATATTTTCAGCCAAACATCATCAAATTTATATATAATACTTCTCCCATCCTTTCTCTGGTGATGGCTGATGATATTACAGTGTGAAACAGGGTATCTATTACTCTCTATACATCTAAGCACCCCAAGCCACCTTCTGGGCAGATCTTCGAAATATTGGTCCCATTAATTGCATTCTGGCAAATCCTTCTCCTAATCAGGATCACAGTAGCCTTCCCAAACCTAAGCTGATGAATAACTTCCTAGGGAATGAGTTTACCCGGTGCCATTTGTCACTGTTCTCTTTAGTTATAGTTGCTGGAGCTCTTAAGGTCATGACATAATGCTGAACTCGCACAAAATAACTGATTCTTGATCAGTATTAATGATTTACTATTACAGATCCTTGATCTGTATTAATTTACTAATTGGTATTCATCTCTGATTCTGAGGACAAGAGATAAAAACAAAATATTCTTCAGACTTCTCTGCTGTCCTAGTTTTTCTGCCTTTTTTCTTCTCATAAGTAATCTTACCTGCTGACTGAAATATAACTTACTTTCTTAATTACACACATTCTTTCCCTCTCTCTCTCTCCTCCAAGCATACCTTTCTGTCCATTAAAATCCAAACTATCACTTAACTGTCTTAAATTCAGTTCAAGCCCTAATAAATCTATTAAATGTCTCCTAATATCCATTGGCTGATTATTTGGATTGTAGCTCAGATCATGTTTTAGACATAACCTGGGATTTCTGCTTCTTTCTGCAGCAAATTCAACAGATGCTTTCTTCTTGCAATCACTAACTAAATTTTCCCCTTTTCATCAGAATGCCTGGAATACTTAGGATCACTTGAGACCACCAGTCAGTTCCTACATTAAGCTTTTCCTGTTATGCAATTGATATATAATCAAACCTGCCTCACCCATTTGGGTTTTATTCAAAGATCCATTCCAGGAACTGGCAGCGGAGCCACCTATCCTCTCTTTCTCCCCGAAAAACCCTTCTTTGCTCCATACCAACCCAAATGTTGATGATAATTATGCCGCTATTGTGCAAAAAGCCTTACATGTCATTCTGATACTTTCTCTGTGTGTTGTTGTCTGTCTGTCTGTAGACATCTGTTGAGAAATACTAGTAGGAATGAATGATGTTGAGTATTCAGAGAAGTACCCTTAAGAATTTTTGGATTTTGATACTTTTAAAATCTAAAATATTATTTTTTAAATGAGAGGACACTATTTTGGGATGTCGTGTATAGAATTTTGTGTCTGAGAAGGCAATGTCATTTTAACGCAGCGATTTATTTGTTACTAAAAGTTCAGCTACTCCGATTGTTGTGGGTTAGGCTGCTCCAGCAACCAAACCGCTCTCCCCACAGTCGTTCACTCACCCTCCCCCAGCCCCAGAGATGAGGGAGAGAATTAAAGGATAAAAGGGATACCCGTGGGTTGAGATAAGAATAATTTAATACAGATGATTTAATACACAGTGTAGATGCTCACCACACCCTCATATACAAAGCCCGTCTCTTCCTGAAGCTGCAATCCTGGACGAATGCGAGGCCCCGAAATAGAGAGGGGGAGAGAGAGTACTCCGAGAGTGGGAGTACTGGAAGAGAGAGGGGGGAAAAAGGCAACAGAGCAAAAGTGCAGCAAGCGCGAAAGAGCAGAAGCGGCGAAAGAGCCAAAGCGCAAAAGCCCTTCTGTCCGGCTGTCCCTCACCTTTATACTGGGCATGATGCTGCATGATATGGAATACTGATTGGCCAATTTGGCCCTCAATCTTAAGTCCAAGTACAAATCGTAAGGAGAGTCTTGGACCCCTTGTCCCAACTATGCTCCCCCC